TGAATGAATATAACTGGACAGTTTCTCACATTACGGAACTGAAGCGTAGGGCAAGTTCAAGGCAAAATAGAGATCCAGGCCCAGATGCCCTTCACTGCTCTCACCTCTTTTTTTCTGTGTATTTTTTTATCTCTGCTGAGAACTCCCTTCTTAAAGGGCTCCTCACCCTTTTCTACCTCTGCCCTCCCCTTCATCAGTTTCTGCTTCAGCAAAAGATTTGACATTAGCCATTTATATTTCATAGTGAATTTAAGCCATGACGTTATCTCTCTCAGAACTACTCAGGTATGGGTGAAACTGGACACATCTTGTGTTGGCTTTGACTTTTTTCCTATGTTCATTGCAGTATGTTGGGGGCTCCGTTGTAGATTTCAGGGGAAGAAACTTCAGTCACAGAAGGAGTTTTAATTCACTGATCTCACTTGGATCAAACAAAATGTCATTTGTACCAGGAAAAGGAATGTTTGTAAGCAAATCAGGAAAGACCCTCTACCCAACAGAAATGACAAGCAAAGGAAGGAGGATAAAGAGAAAGAAGCGGAGAGGGAAGAGAAGGAGGAGGAAAACTGAAGAAGAACGACCAGAAGGAAGAGAACTAGAGGAAGTAGCCCCATCTCTTGCTGGCAGCTAAGGACAGAGAACCCAGATGACCGACGGAGGCAAGGTGCCGGCAGAAGTGAGGGCTTCATGGTGTAAAAAGGTGCCACCGAGAACAGTGCTGAGTTTTAGAATTCCTTTCTCCTTTTCCTTGCTTTAAAATCTTTGTCTTATAGGGTGCCTGGATGGCTCAGTCAGTTAGGTGTCTGCCTTCAGCTTGGGTCTTGATCCCAGGGTCCCTGCTCAGCGGGGAGTCTGCTTCTCCCTCCCCCTCTCCCCCTGCTTGTGCTCTGTCACTCACTTGCTCTCTCTCAAATAAATAAAATCGTTGCCTTATAAAAGAATTTTAAAAGCAGCTTACAGCTTTTCTCATTTCTTAGATTTTTTTACCTCAACATTCGCTTGACTAAGAGACACACCAAGAACAATACGCGCATGTGCGCACGTGTGCGCGCGCACGCGCACACACACACACACACACACACACTCCATTTGAAGACTTTTCTTGGACTTCCTATCCTTTGATTTTTTTCCCCCATTCTGCTCATTACCTTGTCCTTTCTCTGGCAAATTGATTTATTTGAAAGACTTTAAAGGTCAGAGTTCATTATATTGTTGCCTTTAAAATGTGCATACAAAAATAGAACCAGGAATATCCTGAGGGTAGCTTGGTGCTGTGCACAACCTGGAGGTTGCTTCAGTCTCTACTTTAAAATTTTGCTTTTGAACTGAGATGAAGCCAAGGGGGGAAAAAAGAACAGAACACCACCAAAGTAAAGGAAAGAAGCCTGAGGTGTCCCAAAGTATCATGTTAGTTTTTCTTTTTAACAGATTAAAATGATCCAAGTGACCTGAAACACAGCAACTTTGTAGATAAGGTGTGTTGGAAATGACAGATCAGTTTAAAAATGTTTTTCCTAAAAAATAGCCCTTTGCATACTTAAACTGTCCCACTGATGCTATTATCGGGGGTTGGGGGGGACGTGTTGTTTGAGGGAACCTGGTACCTGAGTCACAGGTGAAGATGAAACGTTTTTGAAGTCACAGCTCGCGTCCAGCCTGACGTAGTGTGTGGGCTGTGAATGGCAAAGTGCCGCTGATGCAGGTCACACGTTCAAACCCGGGTGTCTGGTGGAGGACTCCCCTTCTCTGCTCTGTGCCACTGCTCGGAGAGGACAAGGGCTTGGGGATTCTCCCGGCACGATGTTGGTCTCCGGGGCCCCATTGGTCCACCTGTCTCCACCTGTGTTAATGGTAACTTTCAGAGCCTGAGTATTAGCATCCTAGGAAGCGGGGCTGGCCGCTGGCTGAGGTCCCATGACCAACTCCCCAGACCGTGCCACCCAGCTACACATGGTTCTGGGCAGTTTCTGTCTCACATTGGCACTCTCTGTCTGGGACACAAATGGAGACTGTGGAACTTACACTGTTTCTGTCACGTGTTGTGACTCGTGCAAGAGTGGCCTCACTCACTTTCTTATCCCGGGCCACTCGTAGCTACTGGTAAGCAGAGCTTTGAGGTGGTGCCTGGAATGATCATGGGTGTGACGTCTGAAGTTAGACACCTGGATTTGAACCTCAGATTGACCCCTTATCAAACGTGTGATCTTGGGTGGATGGTATAACTTTTTTGAGTCTCAGGAACTTCCTCTGCAAATGAGGATTGAAGGAAACGCATAATATACACAAAGTATTTAATGTAGTGCCTGGCACTCCGTAAACATTTAGGAAAAGTTACTCATAATTATTATTCTGGTCTTAGCCTGTGCTACATGGATCACATGCTTCTGAATGCAGATTAGTAGCTTTGTTAATCACATTCTAAATACGTGATGGTGCTGAATATTTTCCTTTTATAGATACACAGTTGTGACGGTCTCATCCTTTGCTAATCTTTTCTTTCTTATACTTTTTAAATGCTTTCTTAAGATATGAACAATTAGGCAATTTCATATAAAAATAAAAATACTAAATTAAATAAACATAAATATATGACATATAATATATAAATAAATATATGTAAATGCCTAGATATACTTGCATTAGAATATGAAATTTTATCAAGCTTGTCTATTATTTTTGCTCATCCCATCAAGTATAATTCTTTACAGACATTGTTAGTTTATTATAATCTTTCTTTGGGCACAAGTGTGCCTGGGTGGTTCAGTTAGTTAAGCGGCCACCTCCTGATTTTGGCTCAGGTCATGATCTCAGGGTCCTGATATGGAGCCCGGGAGTTAGACTCCGTGCTCAGCAGGGAGTCTGATTGAGATTCTCTCTCCTGCTTCTTCTGTCCCTCCCCTCGCTTGTGTGTCTGCTCTCTCTCTCTCTCTCAAATAAACAAATCTTAAAAAAAAATATAAGAATCTTTTTTGGGGGACAAAAAATGGTAAACAATATGGCAAATAAAGCTAATAATCTGTATTTAGATTTATCCATGTGCTATGTTACTTATATGTGTATGCATGTGCGTGTATTTGTGTATGTAGGTATACATATAAACATATATAACTGGCCACCTTAAATCAAGAAATTTAAAATATTAATTTAGTCTAAAATTTCTTAGACAAAAACAAGCCAATTATACATTTTTGGTGTCATTCAAATTGCAGAAAACCTATTTGCTAGTTAAAATTATTTCTGAAATTTTCCTGTATCTGGAGAAGTGGTTTCCTCCTGAAAATTTGCCATTTTTGTCATCTTCTTTGATTTGGTTAATTTCCAGAACTCTCTGTCTTTTGATGAAGTAATTTAAACAGGATTTGTTATTGCAGAAGGAAGACCTTTCTCTAAATTCTCTTCATGAGGAAGTTGGTGAACTATTTTCTTTGAAAACATGGATTATTTTCCTTTGAGAGACTGTTTCCTGATAAAGGGGAATTTAGCTTTTCATGAAGAACCTCCAAAATTGTTAAAAACTAGTTTAATAATCTGCTTCATTTCCTGTGCCAAATATCAGTATGAAAAAAGTTTTTGAGTATCATAGTTAATCCATGGACCGCTACCCGCAACGGATTGAGCGCTTTGTCAATGAGAGGTGCACCTGGTGTTTTTTTTAAAAATGTTGAACCTACAGAAAAGTTGAAAAAGTAATAGGATCCTGATAATTTTCAACAGACTCAATGACTTTTTTTTAACATTTTGCCACTTTTGTGCATATAGGTACGCGCGTGCACGGGCACCCCCCCCCCCCCCCACATCTCTGTCCCTTGATTTGGATTTGTCTGAATTTTTTCCTCATGATAAGCTAAGATTCAGGCTAAATGCTTTTGGCAAGACTGCAGCACAGCAGACATTGCAAAGCTTGTAGATGAGATAGGAAGGTGACAATTGTCCCTTTTTATAAAAGTAAAGAACAGGGCGGAGGTCATCCCACAGGTCAGATGACTGTTGCATGTTTGGGGAAGGGCTTAGAGAGTTAGTCACTTAGGAACTTAGTGGATAAGAAGGGCTACGGCCATACCACCCTGAATGCACCCAATCTCGCCTGTTCTCAGAAGCAAAGAAGAGTTGGGCCTGGTTAGTACTTGGGTGGGAGAAGGCAGAGACGGAAAGAGGCTGGCTCTTGCCAAGTGGTACATTGAAATATTCCAATATTCTTGAATCTAACCCACCCGCATCATTAGTTCATGAAACTGTCCCCCTCCTACCTAGACAAAATCTATGATGCTGTCCCTAACATACCACTCACAAATCCTAGATTGACCTTCCAAAATTTGCTTTTGTCCCTACAAGGGTATTTTTGATAGTTGTTTACATCAAGCATAACTTAAATAAAAAGATTTGTGGATTGGGGTAAGGGGAGGGGAGGGGATCACAGTATGATTTGCTCTAGGCCTTTACTGAACTAAAGTCAGCTCAAAACTTTGTTTTATTTTCCTTATTTTCAAAACCACGATTCTCTAGGGGAAGGAAGCAGGGCATTACTTAGGAGGAGAGTTGAGAAGTGCTCCTTAAGAGAGTTGAGAAGAAACCATGACTGAAATCTTTCAAGAGGAGATGAAACCAAGAGGAGATTGGGGCCGTATGCCTTAAGTCCTAGAGTTTCCAGGAAACGCTCTAAACAATGGATTGTTCTTTCTCCTTAAAATAAAAATTAAGGGGCGCCTGGGTGGCTCAGTCGTTAAGCGTCTGCCTTTGGCTCAGGTCCATCATCCCAGGGTCCTGGGTTTGAGCCCCATATCGGGCTCCTTGCTCGGCAGGAGGCCTGCTTCTCCCTCTCTCCCTCTCTGAGCTTATGTTCCCTCTCTCGCTGTGTCTCTCTCTGTCAAATAAATAAAATCTTTAAAAAAAAAATTAAAATTAAAATTAAAAAATAAGTGACAGAAAAATAAATGATAAGCTTCAGACAACCTTCCAGAATTATCTAGTTACTTTTATTCTTCTAAACTTTTCTATCCTAGGGAATATCACCTCTGCGGCCAAGATCTTCGAAAGCTGATAAAAAAAAAATACTGACAAAACCGGCAAACAGTGATCACGTAAGTACAGGGAGGACGGAAGGTCCTGGGACTCACTTTCAAGCTGTGTCTGAGTCTCTGAGCCAGATCAGAGGACATGATGGTAGCTCCTAGGATTTTTTTCCTCCAGGTGGTTCCACTGTAGGCCATTGGCACATGGATGTGACAACAATCGGGCCGCCTCTGGAGGTGTTCCAGGACCCAGAATCTCCTCTCTCGTATACCACAGGAGTAGGAGAAGCATTAGCGAATTCACTGGAAAGATTGAGTTACTACTTTCTGTTGTCAATGGCTTCTTGAAGGTCACGGCTGAGTTCACGGGAAAAGTGGCACATTGGCTGTGAATTTATTACTGATATAATTTCCATCCCTGTCTGCGCGTGGCCTTCATTGGCAGGTGACTCATGGGTAAGTCCAAAAGAAGTTCAGCCTCGGGATGCCCTGGTGGGGTTGGCATGATGTGAAATGAGCTGTGCATCCCCCAGTACCATCCTTATCAGTAGCTGCGATAAAGCAGCATCTGCCCCCACAAAAAGTCAAGGGCAAAGGTCATCTGGCATTCCAAGGGAACTCTCCATGGCAGGGAGCCTTCTAATTGGCTAGTATTGATCGGTAAATTGTGTCCCTGCTGTGATTAATTCTGCCCCCCCCCCAAACTCCCGCAGCATGAGCATGATAGGTCAAGGTTTGGGGCCTCTAAGCATCCTTTACAAATGGAGCTCAGGCCCTTAAAGGTGCGAGTGAAAGCTTGCAGCTTGTTAACTCTCTCCTGGCTGCTAGTGCTAAGCCAGGAAGCCAGTTTCATTCAGCTTGCTCTCCCTAATAGAGGCTTAATGGGATGCTAATGTGAGGAACAGGAGTTATCAGATGGCTTGTATGATTTATGATGGATTTATTACCACTCTGAGTTCCCTTGATGTTCAGTGCATCCTTTGCCCATCCATCCCTGTTATTGGCCTTAGCAAATGGTTTCATAATTAATTAATTTTTTTTTCCCTGAAGGGGGTTAAATTATATTTGCCCTGCTGCTTTTCCTCCATATTTAATTCCCAAGGGAGGATCCTTCTCTGTGTGCCTATCAAAGATGGAATATTCTAACTAACGGCTGTTCTCTCCAGTCTCCTCTCTTTCCTACCTACCCTGCCAGCCAAGGCCTCGGCCCTTCTTTCTAGAATAGAGGTTCTCAAACTTGATTCTTGGCTGGAATTATCTGGGAGAGCTTAGGCCTGGATCCTGTTCCCAGAGATTCTGATTTAATTGTTCTGGGGGTACTGCCTTGGTATTCGGAGTTTGAAAAGCTCCCCAGGAGATTCTAACGTGCAGTCACTGATGGGAACCATTGGAGTAGTATCTAAATTCTTCTTAACTGCTACCTCCCCCATGATGCCTTTTCCACGTCTACCAGTGGACATGATCTCTCATCCCTTGGAATCCGTATAATACTTCGTTTATGTCCTTGGAATCTATACAGTACTTTGTATATTTCCATTGGCAGCTTCCTTACAGTTTACGTGTTTGTGAACTTGTCTTCTAGCCACTATTCAACCCTGAGCTTCCCGTAGGCAGGGACAGTGCCTGAGTTATCTTCGTGCTGTTGTGGTCCCTTGCACGGAGCCAGAACTCAGTAAATACTTGTTGAGCTGAGTTTTACCAGTGACCGCGCTCTCTGGGAAATGGGCCCCTGGTCCTCAGTCTCGCAGACATCTCAGGCCATGTGAGGGGATTCTGTCTTATGACCATGAAGATAGATTTTCCCTGCCAGTGTGTCCCTGCTGCCTCCTACCAGTCCTTCTCACCAGGGTGTTACATGTCCTGGTTTGCTGGGGACAGTCACTGTGTATGCCCTCGGTCCCAGCATCATTGTGAATAGCACCTTCTTTCACTTCCAGAGGTGTTCGGTGTGGGTGACAAATTATTTGGTTCCCCTACTTCTCACCCTCCCCCTGCCCTCTTTCCTCGAGTCAGCCTAGAAAAGACAAACTTCTTCGGGGCTTCGACCTTCTTTACCTGGGAAGCTTAGGTAAGCTTCAGAAAGGTCTGTACTGATACTGTATAACTTCATGTATAAAAAAAATGGTAAAACAAACAAAACTCATCCCCAGCGTTAGAAGTGAGGATAGTGGTTTTCTTTAGGGGCTTCCAATGCTTGGGCTGGGACACACGGGGCACTCCTGGGATGGTGGAAATATTCTGCTTCTTTAGCTGAGTGTTGGTTACACAGGTATGTTCATTTGTGAAAATTCATCACATGGCAACACTTATCCCATTTTCTGTATGCATGTTATACCTCCATAAAAATTTTTTTTAAAGGGAAGGCTACATTATAACTAGTACAGAACTGCAAAATATCAATACTTCTCCTTATTAATTAATACGATCGCCTTCATTGAAGAATTCTTGTCAAGCACCCACCAAGTGCTGCAATATACAGAACAGCCAAGAGATCTGGTGTCTCTCTTCTCGGAGACATATGCTGTTCTTGTTTTATTAAGAAAATGTGTGTTGCCAATCACCAAATACAATGCAGTCGTGTGTATTCTATAATTCTTCCGACGACTCTGTGACCTAGGTGGGTGGTTTCTCATGTTACAGGTGAGAAAAGCTGTCACAGAGCTGATGAAAAGTGGACTGAGTTTACATACAGGCTGAACTTGCTCATAGTAAATTGAAAAATCAGTAGGATTTTCAGCTGTCTTGATGATGACAGAAGCAGATTAAATGTATGGCCCATCTTATTGATTGGGCAGAAATCAAGTAAGAAAGCTTAAAACAAGGCAAAATTAAACTACAACTAGAACATAAACAATTTTGTGGCTTTAAGTAAAAAAGACCACAGACTCAGTAGCTGAATTGAGATGAAGATCGATAGTTTTTGTGTTTCCAGAAGGCATTATCAAATTCCAGGCTCCGTGAGGATCTCAGTCTCAGATTAAGAGAATTTGCCGAGGGCTCAACACAAGTCCTGCCTGTATTTGAGCTCCGTTCTCCTAGCCCAGGGCAGAGGTGGGCCAGCATGGAACCTTCCCAGAGAGTCCTTAATGACTGTCCCCATCTCCTTTCCATTCTACTCCCACTAAGCACGACCAAGACAGAAGTGTCTTGCCTTTTTGGATGCAGCCGACGTGGGCAAATTAAGTGAATTAATTTTCCTTATTACAGGTAATAAATAAATCTTATGGTGAAATAAATCATATATGTAATACTGGACTAAAAAAAAAACGTGGCTCAAAACACACAAAGGTGGGTAAAAACAGAAACTAACCAAAATAGAGAATGTCAGAGAGTTATCTATTCGAACAAAAATAAAGCAGCAAAATCCTGGGGCCTCTGGTACCGTACTGAAGTGAGTTTTAGCTACTCACGCTATGTTAACTGTTGATGAAATGTCACTGAGTTAAAATAAAATAAGTCTGTAGTCCCAGATACTACTCTACAAGATCAAATGATGTTAGGCCACTATACCCAGTTATATGAAGAAATAACTCATAGCAATGTACCAATATGTCAAGATTTTTCACAGGAAGCGATATGAAAACTAGCTGGATGGTGTCAGGCTTGTTTAAAAGCTCATTTGCTCCCCTTTGTCACTGTCCTTTCACCTTTCTATGTCATATATCCTGGTCTCTTGTCGATGTGGTTGTCAAAGTACCAGCTTAATAGTGCTTCTCCCTCCACAGAGATGTGTTAAATGTAAAGATGGCCAAGTTCCCTGCCGAAAGGGAAATGCAAAGGACTGGAGCCAGCTGAAGTCATGAGCTATCTGGTGACAATAAGACTGTGTCATTTTATGACACGTCTCCCCGAGGTACCAATGAACTTTACACGGTGGTTTTTTTTTTTTTTCTGCTTTATTATTCTGACATCCTGGGGAAAAGAAAAGAGAGAGGACGAAGAAAGACATTTCCATTCTACACAAAGGAAGGTTGGGCTCAAAGAAGTTAAATGAATTGCTCTGGATCACTTTAGTTTTTGGGATTTCCTGGTTTCCGTAAACAACCACCAATCTGCCTGCACCTCTCACACATGCAAGCACACACCTCTCTGCACAGCCCCACGGCACTCTGCGCTCAGAGGAGCAGAGTTCATGTCTGTGCTGGGAGCGGGGTGTCTGAGGTCAAGGAGGACGCTCAGAGCTTCCTGCCACCTGAAACGCCTCACAACACAGATCATGCACGCCATCCCCTCCTGGTTCTGTGAGACAGTGTTTGTTGCATTAAACTCAACCTGTTTGGGGTCCTTTTCCACCTCCTGAGATTTCACATCTACAAGATCCAATTAGCGTCCCCAAGTCATAGGAGGCTGTCCAACGAGACGACTCACTTTCCAGCTTTTGAGTTGCAAAACCCGAGTTGAACTTCTAGTTCTGCTCACTTCACTGAAGAGAAGATCTGTGTCTGTCTTATTCTGTCAAATGATCAAGTTGAGTAACCTCTTGGGGCTTCCGATTTCTTATCTAAAGGGTATTTTGGAGAGCTAATTTTATTTTACTTTTTTAAGGGCTGACTAATTTTAAACAGCCTAACACAGGAGTTGTCAAAGTACGGTGTAGTGCGCCTGCTATCGATTTGTGGAAATAAAGTTTTACTAGAACACGATCATGCCCATTCGTTTAAGGCTATCTTTTGTTTATCGTCTGCCCTTGCTTTTTGGCTACAACATCAGAGTTGAATAGTTGCTGCACACAATAGGATGAACTATGGGTTAGTTGCTTAATCTGTTTTGTTTTTTATGTTGGTTCTTACTCCTTATTAGGTGCTCCCAATTGGTCATTCTCTGGTCATCCTATCCTTCCCTAGAAAGGGATTGACTACACCTTTTTTTAGTAGTGGTTTCCTGGAGAGTTTTGACTTCACTTTGGGAACTTCTACATCTTCATAATAATGGGAAGTCCATCTGCAGTGGACGGGGTTTGCTTGGACTGGGAACAGGAGTGAGTGGGAAGAGTTGTATTTCCTACTTCTTGAGTGGGCTCAGTGAGGGGCCATCACAGACATCACTTCAGCCTCTTAGCTCTATGTATTTTTTTTGGTCAAGGTTTCCATAATTTGATTTTTAGTACTGAAATCTTTAAACAGAAACAGTTTTTTTTTTTTAAAGGAGGGATATGTGGTATCAGAAACAAGTCTAAATTTTTTCCCCCAAATTTCAACATTGCTTAAAAAAAAGAAAAGGGGCACCTGGGTGGCTTAGTCAGTTAAACATCTGACTTATAATTTTGGCTTAGGTCACGATCTCAGGGTTGTAAGATCAAGCCCCGAGTCGGGCTCCAAGTTGAGTGGGGAGTCTGCTTGAGATTCTTTCTCTCCCTGTCCCTCCCACCACCACTCACGCTCTTTCTCTTTGGACAAAAAAGAAAAGAAAAGGAAAAAAAAAAGAAAAAAAGGCCATTCATGATTACTTTGTGAGAACAACACAGTAAAAAGAGGCCTGCTTTGGGAAGTCAGAAAATCTGGGTCCAAGTCAAAGTTCATCTTGGTTTTATTATGTTGGGCAAGTCACTTAGTTTCTGAGTATCAGTTGCTTCATAAAGAAATAGGGATAATAATAACAATGTTTGTTTCACTGCATGGTTTTGAAGCATAAAAGAGAATGCAGTAGAAAGCTTTGTAAACTATAAAGCCATCCATAAACGTGACCCATATATATAACAAGGTCTGTTCCAGGGTTTCTGATTACTTTCCTTTGGTTTATGTTTTTCCATTTATATCAGACTGACAGTTTTAATTATGGATGTTTTACAAAAGGGTCTGGTATCTGTCAGGATTGATCCCTAAGAATGTGTTTTGCTAGTTTTTCCTGTTTAGAGTTTCGAGCCCTCGTTATAAGGTAATGCACCAAGCTTGGGAATTAGTGCCAATTTTAACGACTTCCAAGAAAAGTCCTGTTGCAGTTTTGGATAGAATTATTTTAATAATTTAAGGTTAAGAAGTCTTGGCATCTTTATGTTGAATTTTTCCATCTAGTAAAAATGTAACTCTTCTTATTAATTATTAAAACCTCTCATGAAGGTTTTAAACATTTTAATCCATTTCTCACTGAATTTGTAGGTATTTTGTATTTGTTATTATTGGAATAGCTTCTTTTCCATTATATCATCTCTGGTTATTGGGAATACATAAGGAATACTATTCCTTTTCTGGTATTTCTCTTATTCCAAGCCATTTTATGGCTCTTTATTAATTAAGAACACTTTTAACTAATTTATTTGGTTTTCCCAGTCACATACTTCTGTGATTTTCGAGTATGTCATTATCTTAATTCACCTACCTGAATCCTTTTGTTTCACAACTTACTGCCCTAGCCAGAGAATCTAAAGTGATGACACTAGAGGATATTCTTTGTGTTTGTTTGTTCCTGATTTTGGATATTTCCAGTGTTTGCCTAGTAAATATAATCTTTATTGATTTTAAGCCAAGAGCACCTTTATCACATTCAAGGGGTCTCCTTCCAGTTTATTTAATTGTTTACTTTATAATTAGGAAAAGGTGTTGATTTGATCCAATGTGGTGTCTATGAAACTATCACCTAAGTTAATTATCGTTGAATCGTGAATACTCGGTGGATTATTTTTTCCTTGCAGATCAGTCTCTGTGGGCAGCAGGCTGGCTCTGCTCACAGTGGTAAAAGTGTACACCGTGTCACTGTGACCTTGAATACCTCGGTGCCCACGGCCACGCTTAGGAAAGTGGGCCGACGCAGAAGCCAAAGTTTGCGGGAGGAAATCCCCCTGACGTCCTCTCCTTGGGCACGTTCTCCAAAGTCGGTGGCTTTGAACAATTCTTTCTGGTCTTGGCAGCTGACATCACAGTTGTTCAGACTAGGGACAAAAGACACTACAGAGGGCGGCAAGGAATATATAGAAAGAGCTCAGGACACGCCACCCCAAAATAGGCAGCTTTGCCATATTGATTACTTCGAGTTGAAAACAGCAGAGGCAAGAAGAGCAATCTGACATTTCTTTTTCTTCCTAGAAGCAGGAGATAACATTCCCAGGTGAAAGTTGCTCTCCTGTTTCGGAAGAAAGATACAGCATTGTCAGAGAAGGAGACTCCCAGGCTGAGATGATTTCATATAAACAGATTCTCCTGTTATAGTATAGCTACTTTTCTACAATTGTTATTCTTTGTTCAATCCAGCGCATAAGCCCTTAGGCTACATCTTTCTTGTGGGGGCTCCTGTTACCATGTAAATAAAATGTATACACTTTTCTTCCAATACTCTCCTGTTCTGTCACTTCCCAGCTGGAGATGGTAGGAGGGTGGAGGAAATTTTAATTTCCCCTACCATGGGAATGAAACTCAGTGGCCTGCTCAAGAAATATGAGGTTAGGAAGTTGTCAAAAGCGGGGCCTAGTCGGTGCATCTCTCCCTCCAAATGAAGGAGCCGGCCGTGCTCCCTCAGCCAGGCCCGACAACCCCTCAGCTTGCCTGTGGAGTCTGCTCGTGCCCCCGGGTTTCAAACCAAGAGTGGAATTTCAATGCCATGGGTCTTGCATTTTAAATGCCGATCCCCAAAATATCCTCTAAAATGTAGACAAATGAACTGCTAACATCAGAGTCTATACCAGGATCTTGCTGATACTCTGGCCACTTGGGTGACCTTTCAACATGGCATTTAAAAAAAAGTGAGCAGTGTTTTCCTATTCTCCTGGCAGCTCAGAATAGCTGTTTCCTTTCTTATAAACAAGTCATATCTCTGGGAATTTCTAAAACCTAATGTTGTCTGCTCAGAAGCCATGACTCACACTGTTTCCTGGCAATCCTCACTAATTCATGAACACCTCTTGAGGAAAGAATCCCAGACGACAAGAGTGGTCACAGAAAGTCTCAGATTCCTTCACTTCAAACACAGGAAGCTGAGAGACAAAGGAAAATACCACCAATAGTCCCTGGCCACGGCATTCCCCTCTTCTTGGCTGAGCTCACATCTGTGGCTGTCCGAGCAGGAAGGGGAAACCCGCCTGGAAACTTGTTCCAGCCTGTCTTTAGGTCACCGCCCACCCAGCAGCCCTGCTTGGGAATTTACCTAGCTCAGCTTCTTCTCGAATCTGGGGGTACATGTTCTCTGAGGGGGGACTCCCCAGGGAAATTACCAGGAGGACACACATACTGAATGGTGGGGCTTCCTAGCCGCTCTTAGGAGGAACCCTGTGGCAAAAGTATATCTCCTTTCTGCACATTCTCTTCCCAGGACTACCCCTCCTCCACCTGCCCCCCCCACCCCGGCCCTGGCTCTCCAATTGTTTAGTCCCTCTTGAGCACCACATCATTTCCCCTCATACTTCCTAAATTGTCAAGAAACAGAGCGAAACCATTTTTATTTGGCTTCTGCCATATCAACAGTATTAAAACCTGTGTGTGTGTGTGTGTGTGTGTGTGTGTGTGTGTTTGTGTGTGTGTGATGCATATGTAAACAATAATGCAAGGGCCTTGGTTGAAGAGACTGGGGCAGAAAAACTGAAAATGCTCTGTGTAAACAGGATGTTTCCTCAGCTCTACTCATTTCTTGGCTTTATGCTAATGAAAGGACCAAGGGTTGATCTGTTCATGGCCCAGCAAATGCCCTGTGGTGGAAGGGTTAATCCCAGCTGGCCCACAGAGTAGCCTGAAATCAGTCTAACTCAGACCAGCCCACTGGAAGTCTGAAGTGTCCGTAACGGCATGATCTGTGAGCTAATCATGCTTAACGTATAGAAAATGTGATGGATGTGCCAGACATTTTCTCAGTTGTCATGACCTCATAGTTTTTGGTATTTCACAAATAAGGAAGCAGTACTGGACAAGTGTAATTATTTGTTCACGATTTTTAGGGAAGTCACAGCGAAGCTGGAACTTAGACCTAGATCTACCTGGAAGCTAGGTTCTGGTTCTGAGAGAGTGCAATGGGTTGGGAAGGCAGACAGACAGAAAGAGGACAAGCGTGTGTGTGAGTGTCATATTATAATTCATAATAAGAAATATATGTTTGGTCTTCATCCCTGTTGCTGGCATAGAGCTTTTAAAACACCCTTAGAATTCCTTAAGGGATGAGAAGGATCTAGGTGCTTTATTATGTTAATGAGGTGACTTTTGGAAGCACCTGAGGATGGGTGGGGGCTGGTTGCCAGGGGATCCAGCCCTGTGGTTGTAGAGCTGGAATTTTCCCTCTCACCTCCCCCCCAACAACCCGCCCTCCGGGGAGGGGAAAGGAGCTGGAGATTGAGTTCCATCTCCAATAGCCTGTGACTTAATCAATCATGGCTATTGAAACCTCCATAAAAATCTAAAGGGATAGGAGGGGGATTTGGAGAGTTTCTGAGCTGGTGAACACATGGAGGTGCCGGGAGAATGGTGGGTTGGAGAGGGCATGGAAACCCCACTCCCTTTCCCTTGGAGCTTGCCGTTTGCATCTATCTCTTCCATTTGGCCATTTCTGAGTCATATCCTTTTATAAGGAACCAGTCATCTAGTCGATAAAGTGTTCCTCTGAGTTCTGTGATCTGCTCTAGCAAATTAATTGAACCCAGGGTTTGTTGGCACCTCCAGCCCATAGCTGGTGGGTCAGAAGCACAGGTGACAATCTAGTCTTATGTTGAACATCTGAAGTGGGGGTGCAG